AAACCCCTCCTCCCCCCCCCCCCCCCCCCCCCCCCCCCCCCCCTCCCCCCCTACCCGTGTCACATGGCCTTTTCGTTGTTTTCAATCCGTTTGCAGTACTTCGTATATGGCTTTGTAAGTGCACTCTTTTTCGTTTTTTTGTAATTTAATCCGGACATATACACCCATCTGAACAGGGATCCGGACAGGCTGATCCGGACATATTCAGATGAAATAAGGAAATCCACTTTCCGGTGACCGGACTCGTCCGGTTCACTTGTCCGCCACTGCCATGCTTTGAACTCGTGACCTTCATTTTTATATTTTCCCGCAGTCCCGGTTGCTCTGTGAATGTCCACGAGAGGCCAGTCCAGGTCCAGACAAGACCAGAAATCTCGTATGGACTGGTTTTGCCTGCCCTGTTCCCCTGGCAGAGGGGAGGAGTATGTAGCACATCTACCTGTCCCCGACAGTTTTCTTGTCTGCCGGGCAGTGCCTGCTGATTGCCTGCCAGTCTCACCATCGCTCCCTGGCAATCATTCAGTCTATCCGTATAAGGATTTAAAGTTTGAGCTTATGATCCATTCTGTCTGAATGCCAGTCTGGCTGGTTATCTGTCAGTGTGCTTCCCCTTTGTCAAACTCTCTCTCTCTAAGGGGTTTTTCGTCAAGAGTGGGCAGGTTGTGCGGGCGCCGCTTGCGGTAGCGCTAACGCGTTACTCCCTGCGGTAGTCACCTCGGGTACCATGCGCTTGCGGTTATCGGTAATTTCGAGGTTCTCGAAGGTGCTGCTCAACCCCATGGCGTTGCCATGGTGGTTAGGATTAGGAACACTGCCTTCATCTCGAAGAGCAACGGCCTTTTAGGCCGGGTGGAACCTATCCGGGAGCAGCCCGACATATCTTCTCGCCTCAGGTTTCTGAATGTGCACATGTGGAGTCGAGTAACAGGAGATCGGGTATTTAGTCACGTTGAAGGCAGCAGAGTTACTGCGAGAAGGAGTAACGAAGGAAGGTATCGGTGATATTACTTTACCTTACTTTCCTCCCCCCTCTTTCCCGGTACGGTTAATATGACTGGTATTTAACGGTTGACTTTCCAGTTAATGAGGCCTATATTTAAATACTTCTAAAGTGCTCAGTTAAGATGGCAACGGTCAAGAAGATGTACTCGAGTGAAGAGAAGAAACAACTCTGTTCCTTGCTTGAAGCCTGCTATAGAGATGGGATTTTTCCGTCCGGATTGGATATTGGGATTGCTGAGTTGGGGGAGGATTTCGCCCGTTTCGATTTGAACGAAGGTTTTTCAGAATTTAATCTTACGTGGTTACGAGAACACGCAATCACGATTCTCTTTCAAGAGAGGGCTTCAGTTCTGTCGAATGACACGAAGAAAAAATTAGTACATCTTTACGAAGACTCGGGGTATGACGCAGGATTGATTGCGGACTCAGCCAAGAGGGGTCGATATCAGAATGAGGGTAAGAACTTGGCCTCCTTCGTGTCATCCCAAACGTCGGTCATTACATGGCTAAAACAGAAGAAAGAGGATTACGTGGACTTGGGGAACAAATCGTACAAACTCACTTTTCTTCCGTGGATGACGTTGTCAGAAATGAAAGAATATAAGGAAGCAGAGTTTAAGGTGTGCTGGATTAGATGCCCTAGGGTACCACTCCAGCTGTTGGCCATCCTTCAGACCGCTGTCGAAAAATCCTTTGGGGAGGTGCTAAAAGTGCACCCCTTCGAGGAATACGAGGATGAGCCCGAATTGGGTACAGTACGATTCGATTTGGAACTCGAGGCACGTAAGAAGGTGAAACCAAGACTGTTGGTAGGCATTCCAGGTCAAGGTGACTATCATTTTGAGGTTATCTCCGCTGCCACACCGTGGTGTTCAGTTTGTCGTGTTAATTACCATACTAACAAGGAGGATTGTTGTCCGGCGTTCGAGGACCCAGATCCGTTCATGCAACAGATGAAGCAAAAAAGCTTCCCACCTGATCCTCCCTTTTCGGGCTTTGTCCCGACTGGTGAGGAACCCCCTCTCACGGGTTTCAGACGTTTTGCTGGCAAACGACGACCGTCAAATCCAGTAAATAACAGCTCCTCGAAAAGTCAACACCCTCCGGTGAAGACAAGGGGTAGATCTAGGTCACGGTCTATTCACAGATCTAGAAGCCCAAGTGGGAGGTCGAGTAGAGGGGAAAAGAACTCGAGTGGCACAAAAGGGAAATCCTTGAGCTCTGGAGGCAAGAAGACCCCAAGCCCGCTGAATAAGAAGTCAAAGGAGAGTATAGTGTCCAAAGGCGGATCGGATTCGGTTTCGTCATATGGGCCAGAGAAAGAGGACGAGGGTTCCATGAAGATTGACAAGAACGCAGATAATGGGGAGTCGGAGGAGGAGGAGGATGGAGAGTCGGAAGGGGAAGGGGATCTTGAGAGGAATAGATCAGTAATGGAAGAGGTGGGACGGAACGCACTAGTAAAGGCTGTGGAAGCCGTTATTAGTAAAGGGAGAGGTAGGAGGAGCTTCCACTCCCCGTTCAAAAGGTCAAGGACACACTCTCCGGACAGGGAGTTCAGGAAAACCGGAAGTGAACACAGCAGCCAAGCCTCAGAAACGGACTCAGGACAGGGGATCGTGCGGAATAAGGATTCCGGAAATCGGAAGTTGAGAACTGCATTGACAGAGGCGGAACCACGAAGCACACTGGGCAGGGACGATAAAGGAATCCCGAAAGTGTTGATTCCCTTGTTGTGTTCTACCTCTGATAAGGGTGTGGTGATTATGGCCTCCCAAGCGAATGACGGGAATCTGGAGTTGGCCACCACCAATGCAAATGTTCCCCTTACCGGGAACGTGATTTTGAAGAAAGTCGCCCGTATTATACCGGAAGGCCTCAGGGTTCGTATTATCCCTCAGGCTAGGGTTGAAGGGCAGAACGTGGTGAGTACAAAAGGGGAGAAAATTCGTTTTTATTTTGTTCCGCTGGAAATTCACATGAATGATGAAACCAACAATATTATTGCGGGACAGAACAAGAGTTGGTTTCCTCTGTCCTATCTGTCCTCGCCTCTCAACCCGGAGTTACAGGGAATAAGAGTCGTACCTGGCGTCTCGGCAGCGGTGATTGCAGACTGGCTGACCACCTCCGTTCTGAGGGAGCTACTCCTAACATCTCAGTTGATGACGGCAATCCAGGAGCCTTGGGACGATGCTTCCCGAGAGGAAGAAGCTCGAAAGAGAAAGCAACCCTCGGGTGGACAGGGGGTGGGGGGCCGTATCCAGTCAATAGTCGGCAACGTCGGTTCCCATGCCTCTTATGGGCAAGCTTAAGCTTGCCTCCTGGAACGTACGGGGACTATGTGATACTAATCATAAGCATAAACGGAGCCGATTGAAAACCTGGATTCACAAGGAGAAAATTCAGGTGACATGTCTGCAAGAAACAAAGTTAAATGAATATCGATGCGAGGAAATGGAAAACTGGTGGACTGGACAACAGTTCTGGTCGCCAGCCCAGGGGACTAAAGGTGGAACGGCAATTTTAATTCACAGAGACCTGGACGCGGTGATATTAGATTCAATGGTCGACTTGTGGGGGAGGTGGGTTTGGGTCGAATTCGAAGTAGGGACAAAGGACTGGACCGTGATGTCTATCTATGTACCATCAGACTATAATGAAAGGGTAAATTTCTTAGCAGATCTACCAGGTATAATCCCTGATTCAGACAATCTGATCATTGCAGCGGATTGGAACACCATTTTAAACCCGGGACTGGACAGCCCGAATATAGGACCTATTAGATCAGATTGCAGTCTGTTACGGTCCTTTTTTATCTTAAATGATCTGGTGGATGCATATAGAGTTTTGAATCCGGAAGCTCAGGAATACACTTGGTTCGGGTCCCGGACTCCACCGGCTCGGAGAAGGCTAGACTATATCCTAATGAAGGGTCAGCCATGGCACGAGTGCACGGCAGTGGATATTATCACGATGGATATGTCGGATCATAGACCAGTCGTAGTGAGCTTCCAGGTTAGTGAGGCTCCAAAAAGAGGTCCTTCCTATTATAAGTTGAATGTATCCCTGTTGAAGGACCCGGGAGTTATCCAATGGGCACAACGTCAGCTGACCACTCGGTCAACTGTGGAGGATCTGTTCGATACTGAGCAGGACTGGTTGGAAGTGGGCATCCATATATTAAAACGAGCTTTCAACGTCTTCTCACAAATCAAAGCACAGTCAAGGAAAAGTGACAAATACAGATTAATCAAAAGAATTAAATTAGCAGAAGATAGTCTGGGGATGGATGCTGTGTCAGATGCCTATTGGACAACGGTGAGAAGAAGAAGCCTGGCAAAACTCGAACAGATGCATATCCAGGACCAAATGCAATGGAAAGAATGGTTAGATCAGAGAAATATAGTCTATGGGGATAAACTCACGAAAGATACGTTCAAACGGTTAATCCTACAAAAAGCTCACCCACCTATGAAGGGATTAGCTCACCCGTTCTCAACCCAAGTTCTGATATCTAATGATCTCCAGCAAATGTGTGAATATGCCAGACTGTATTTTGAGGATATTCTTACGACTAGACGTCCATACGATGATATGGACTCAGACTTAAAAATCACAAGTACATTTTGGAATCGCTCCCAAAAGATGCTGACTCACGTGGCTCGTTTAGATCTGGATAGACCCTTAACTTTAGAAGAACTGTTAGTAGCCGCCAAAAGGATGGCAAAAGGGAAATGCCCCGGAGATGATGGTCTCCCAATTGAGGCCTACTTAGCATTATGGCCTCAATTGGGTCCCATGCTACTCAGGATCTTTAACCAAGTTCTAACAGGGGGTGAATTGACAAAAAACATGTCAAAAGGGGTGATCTCCCTGTCATACAAAAAGGGCGACAAGAAGGAAATTTAGAATTGGAGACCTATATCCTTGTTAAATGCATCCTATAAATTGTTAGCCAAAGCTCTTTCGATTAGGCTAGCAAGGTATTTACCGGACCTCATTGGCAAAGAACAAGGTGCCTTTGTAAAGCACAGAAGTATTATGGACAACATTGCGTCAACCATTCAAGCTTCGGAAATAGTAACAAAAGATAATCTAGATGTGGCGGCGATATTTCTGTTTGATATGGAAAAAGCCTATGATCGGGTAGGCTGGGCTCTTGTCATGACTACGCTGAAACATATGGGGTTCGGCACTTCCTTCTGGCAGTGGGTGAAGACGATGTATTCGGGTGCTACAGCTACGGTAATGGTGAATGGTCAACAATCTGACGAATTTTCCTTGAACCGATCCTTGAGACAGGGCTGTCCTTTGGCCCCACTCCTTTTTGTCATTCACTTGGAAATACTTCTAGACAATATCCGTTTCAATTCTGAAATCCAAGGTTTAAAGTTGAACACAGATCTTTCTTGTTTAAACATGCAACTGAACACAGGACTTCAATGGAAGGGTGGGGCATTGGCTGATGATCTGACAGTTGCATGTTTAAACAAGAAAGATCAATTAAGAGCTCTTAAAAGAGTATTAAATGATTAGAGTGAATTATCGGAGGCCTTCACGTAGAAGAAAGGACAGGTTGGGGGACGCCGGATCTGGTTTTAGTGCTTAGCCGATTCTGGGTAATGGCCCCAGTTTTACCGGGTAGAATTGTGAGGTCCCCGGCCTCAACTTGTTCCTTGATAATAAAGTTTCAACACTTTCTCCAAAAAAAAAAAAAAAAAAAAAAAAACCTTCCTCTTTCTTTTTTTAAAAAAAAAAAAAAAAAACCTATCTCTCTCGACCCCAGCTTTATGCCTGAACTGTCTGAACATACGAACATGTAGCGGTTGATAAGCAGATCATGAGCTCAAATCCTTGTATGGATACAACAGTGCCCAGGGTTAATCCCTTTACGAAAAGGGATGGGGGTGACGAAGTGGTGCTTGGGGGGCGGGGGGAGGGAGGGGGAGAAGGGGGGTAGGGGAGGGAATGCTCTGTCAAACTGCCTCTTTCCATCGGTCTGTCGGCCTCTCTGTCTGTCTGCCCGTCTGGCTGTATGTCCATTACTGCTCTGTCTGAATATAAATACCTCTGTCTGTCCTACCTGTTTGTGAGACAGATGGAGAGGACGACAAACCCCGTCATGATAGCTGTATTTGGCACAACTTTCGGTCCAGATGCAGCGATAATGACCAGGCGTTCTCTTCGGGTGAAGACAGTAGCCCATGTGGCTGAATGCTACACATATGTAGCTGGTAATGAACAGATCACGAGTTCGACTCCTGCGGCAATCAGATCAGATGACTACACCATAATCTTAGTTGGCACACCTATCTGCTTGTCTTTCCGGCCTGTATGTCCGTGAGTGGGCGTTGACAAAGAACACAACCCCCATGAATGCTACCACCTCGAGAAACAGTCCACCTGTCCTCTCTTGTCTTTCCACTCGTATGCGTGTGAATGCTGTCGCCAGAACCACCACCATTAATTGGACCTCGCAAATTGCAAAATCCCATTGCACACACATGTGTAGAGAAATTACTTCATCGATGATGATGAGGCTCAGCAAATTATGAATGGGAAGAATTCACATACCCTGCTTACGTGTGCTCAGATCCACTCCCTCTTGTCTTTATGAATGTGTCTGTAGACTCTGTACCTCGCATGCGAAAACTGCCGACATCCCCACCGCATGCGGCTGAATGCTACACACATGCAACTGTTAGGACACAGATCATGAGTTCAAACCCTGATGATTGGTCTCCAATGAATACAACAATGAGGAAACAACAACAACAACAACAACAACAACAACAACAACAACAACAATGAGAGGGAAGGCTACCCCCTCGAAAGAAAAAAAAAAAGAAAAAGAAAAGAAAAGAAAAAAAGAACAGAAAAGAAAAAAATTGCAGACAAGCAGAAGAGCCACCACCTGCTGGCTGCTGGTCTTCGCCAAGTTCTAGTTCCAGCATCTCTGTGCAGCGAAACTGGGCGCAAGTCCAAGTTTCCACATCACGTGCGAGGTTTCTACATCTCTGTGCAGATGATCAGTGGGAGCTAGAGAGCTCGTAAGTCCATCGACAAAAGATGTGGAAACCTCGCACATGATGTGGAAACCTCGCACGTGATGTGGAAACCTTGCACACTTCGGAGTTGGACAGGATGAAAGACGGGCCAATAGGTAGCTTTCCGTGGAGCCTTTTCCGCGGACCCTGATGCACAGGGGCAGCAGACCCATCTGTGACCCTTTTTGGACCCTGAGAGACATTGACAGGTCCATTTGGAATTCCAGAACCTTGTCCTTCAAATAAATAAATTGAGCAAGCTCCTCCTTAAAATGAATCGAGCCTGTAAATGGGCCTGTAAATGGGGCTGTAAATGGGGCTGTAAATGGGCCTGTAAATGGGACTGTAAATGGGGCTGTAAATGGGGCTGTACATCGAGCAAGATCCTCCTTAAAATAAATCGACATTGACTGACCCATTTACAGGTCGCGGACCCTGACCCACACGGAAAGGCCTACTTGGAACCTTTTTTCTCTGAGCCCTGAGGAACAGGGACCGACCCATTTGGAACCTTTTCTCCTGGATCCGGACCCACAGGCGCAGACCTATTTTGGAACCCTTTTTTTTTCTGGAACCAGGTGAACAGTTCCAAATGGGTCAGTCCCTGTTCCTCAGGGCCTGTTCCACAGGGTTCCATTTTGGAACCCTTTTTTTCTGGGCCCTGAGCAACAGGCACTTTCCTATTTGGAACCGTTTCCTGGACCTTCACCCACACGGACAGAAGACCTATTTTTGGAATTATGGGACCCTTTTAAGGTAAGTACTGACTTAGGAATAACGGCCACACGCGTACCAAAATCACAGGACAAACAACAGTCTATGACTCCATGCTAATTACAACGGACGGGCGAACATGCAGCACACCCGAACACTGAGAGAGCATGCTCGCACCAGGACTTTCTTAGATGCATTTGACTGCGATTGCAGCCAGATTCATTCATTCAATAATGGTCATAGTGTGAGCACGCCTCAACCAAGCCGCCTCCAAAAGAACGAAAAGAAAAAAAGAAAGTCGGTTGTATGTACTATGTACAGCATTGTATGCCCATGGGCGTCGCTGCACTACTCTTGAAATGCACAAAAGACAAAATTCATGGCCGTGTATCTTTCCATATTTTAGTGGAAGATTCACTCTCGTTTTGCACATTTCGAGAGTAGTGCAGCGAGGCCCCATATCTACAGATGGGTATGGTACTATGGATTGATCCAACCTCTCCCTTTTTTTTCCTCTTTTTGAACTTAGAAAAAGTTTTTCAAATTTTTTTTTTCCTTTTCTCTTCCCCCCCCCCCCCCCCAGTTTGTGAAAACAAGGCGCCTGACCTTTACAAAGACAGACAGTATCCACAATTCCAAGTTGCAGGCAGTTAAGGCCGGCGACATGAAATATGATATCTCC